AGTAAAAATACATTAATTCTTTAAAACTCTTCTCTCCCCCTGGGTATTAAATAAACTAACCAAGTACAAGGTTGTGTTGAATAAGGCTGTCTCTTCCAAAATTGTGAATTTCATGGCGCCCGGGTCGGGGGTTTGGGTATTAGGACGGGGATCTATTGATTTTAACAAACTGACAAAGTACAAGATTTTAGTACATATTTATGATGAAGAAAGGTGCCTCTTCCAAAATGGTCAATTTCAAGGCCCCTAAGTCTGGGGTACAAATTCATTTGTTGGAAAGTTGTTACAAGACCTTTAAGGCCCTTGGGCCTCTTGCTGAAGATTTTTTCTATATATTTCAATGTAAAACTTAGATCTCCTATTGAGGCCCGGCATCATGATATTTCCACATAAGTTTCAGTTTTTCTGTCCCTTTGATTCTTAAGAAGATTTTATAATGACCCTTCCCTAATTTTGTCTTTTCTTGATTATCAGACGACGGACAATGGATGATCAGTAAAGATCACTCAGGTGTCAGCTAAAAAAATATGAACAGAAAAACTTATCACAGTTAAGTCCACTTTTGTTAAACCAGATCAGAAAAGTAGAGTTTGAAATTTTTCTATTTTTCAAATGATGGTATCTTTCAAGTCATAATTTTAATTAGCCCAGGGACAGTGAATATAAAATTTACATGACAACTTTGTCATGTTATGTCATATCGTCATGCAGGAGAATTAACTGTTGCAGGAAAAGGATATGTACATACATAACCCAATGAATTTCACACTTATATTTTCTCAAAAGTTGTATCATTGCCCATTTTTTGTCTATCATAAGATGTTCTATACAGTTACATGTAGACAGAAATAGTGTACATGTTATCTGCATATTTCCAATCTTTTCAGTGAATGTTCTGTGGCATTAGTCCCACAGTAAAAGGAAGAAAGATATTCTTTTGTTAATATTATGTCTTTATTTAAATAAATCATAATACTACATTATAATCATACAAAGTACATTTCTGTATGTAAAATATATTGTATTATTGATCTGTACGTTATGGTATATTGATGAGCCAACTACTTAAAAACCGGTCTAACCGGTCAGCGTTAAAAGAATGATTAAAGGAAGTGGTTATAATAATCATCATGAGAAATAATAGAAAAATATTCAGTTGATGCAAATATAGAATTCTTTCGTAGTTTTATAGCTTTTGAAGACGTATTCTCAATATATATCATATAAACATATTACATTTTTCCAGTATACTTTAGTTTCAGGGCATATTATCTCCACACAGTTACGTTTTATCTGTGTTTTTGTCGAAACAAGCACCCTTACAGTTCTTTAAGTTAAGATAGAAACATCAAGAAATCTATCTTTACACCTGTCCATTTCTTGTAATTGTTGTTTAACACATTTTATTCTAAAAGTCTGTAGCTTCTTTTATTCTGTGGAATGGTTCCTGTTTGAGCGACTCTTCATAAGACTGTAAAGCCCCGTGTAAGTCTCCCACAACTTGTTGACAGATTCCTAGTATCTGCCAGGATAGGTCTCTTTCTTGTAAAGGCACATATGTCCCGTCATCATAGATCAGCAGTGTCTGTAGGTCTGTAAGTACTGTAAACACTGAGATCTATTACCTAGTCTATAGTGAGATAAAACAGACAACATCTCTACTATAACAAACGGTGATACGCTAAAAAATGGCACTCCATCATGTTGACTCACACACTGTTCTAAACATAATTCTTCAATACATGGAGTATTTGTAAATGAAAGCACATGGTGTACCCAGGCTATCTTCATTCTTCGAGACAAAGACCGATTTCCTACAGCTTCATTGTACAATTGCCTATCAACATTTTCATTATACAAAATAAAGGTCTTTGATAGTCTTTCTTTAGTGATATAAGTGGTATGCAGTGTTTTATCAAATCTCCCCGTTCTATAATAATACAATGACAAATATAATAAGACAGACACAGGACCTAATCTTGCTGCCATTCTCAATATGCCACAAATTATTGTATCTAAGTTATAGATGTTTTTATGTGTGTAACATGAGGTACTGTTTGCCATTTTGAAGGCTAAACTAACAAGAGACTGAGCAGTACAGTACTGTAATGTTAACAACTGGTACGGTGTGAGTAAAAACCGAGATAGTGTGTTGATTAATTTTAGATAAAGATAAGACTCCCATATATATTGAGAAGAAAAAGATGATTTGAATATTTCAGTCATGCCACAAATATCTGAATCTGCTATACTTATAATTTCTCCCTCAGCAGCAGATATTTCTAAGAGGGCTACTGAGAGCTGGTTCTAGAATTGACTTGAGAGTCGGACTCAGAAGTAAACAGGACACACCTATTCTGTAATACTGATAAAGCTGTTGTAAAAGAGATTCACGTGCATCATCAACAATTTTGTTCATGAACATGTTGTTCTGTGGAATAAAAAAGTTTGGAAAATCTTCTCGATAAACACAATGTATGAGATATTTGAAACACTTCCAAAAGCAATCTATTAAATTATCCGGAAACCATTTAATGTGACCTAAATTTAATCATCCAGAACATTGTGGTCTTCATGAAATAGGAACACAGAAGTTCCTTCCTAAAATTGATAACCTCCTTCAGAAATATTTTCAAAAGTCCATAACATAAAAATTGTGTATGATTCATGATACACACTAGTTGTTGCTCGGCTTGGGAAAATGATAATCTCCATTCCAGTTCGTTATCAGGTGATTCAACTTTGCTTCCAATAGGCACACAGTGACATTCATTTTTAAGGATTTTTTTTCTAACGCAGTTGCAGACGGCCAGGTGTGTCTCTGGCATCTCTGAACCCAACGTCCTAATAGCTTAGGCCAGGGAAAAGATGCTAGACACAAAACTTCATCGAATTCAAATGCTGTATTGAAACCACTACTACAAGGACCATGAATTTTTGAAAACTTTCAAGGTTTAGGCCTTTCTTATGCAGGATATTGAAAATAAGGATTCTCTCCATAGACGACTAGATAGATAGTCACCGTCATTACAGGGAACAAGACAAGATGTCATGATTGTTTGTCGGGTTGTTGTCAGGAGGCGTAATCTGACAAATCCTGGCGGTGTATCAGAATCTTCCAATAGCAAAATTTTATGTTTTGATGCATTATAAAGCCAAGACTGGGAGATGTCATTTATTAATTTATGATTACAAGACCAGAACATATAATCCCTGTCACATGATTTCAACCTAAATCCTTCTCTAAACTACCACTCAATATCGTAGCATATCCTTTATGATTATAAACAGGTTTCTTTATCATCTCCTCCATGTCCAACACGTCCCTTCTGATGGCCACTTCTGTCGGAGTCCCTATCTTACGACACAGACCAACATACAGGACCTCTGATAGACGGGGAATGTGGTCCATTCTTATATGTATCTCTATAAATAGAGAAAACTTTTGTAATGCTGTATTGGAATACATTGCAATGCAAATCGAGAGTAGATTTAAATGAACATGTTAAAAGAAACATAACCTATTTCCTACAAATGGTGGTCTACACATGTACGTGAAAAATAAAAAGGAAATTTAGAAAAGGAAAAGGAAAGCGCATAAAAAGGAAAATCCCAGCCCACCTACTTCGTTTCGAAGTGTAATGCATGCGCGGATCTACAGTTATAACATGATTTTGACGTTAACCTTTTGTTTTTCTTGTCCATTATTTTGCTTAGTGTTGAGCTAACTCCCCTAACAATCCATTAAGTCCCCTGTAAGTGTCCATTCTTTTTTGGAAAACTGTCCATTCTTTTTAACTATGTTTTTATATTTATTTTCATACCTATATATTGTGTGTTCATCTTGACCTTGTAGGGCTAAAAAAGGCTTTGTCTGTTGCCTAAAACGAAATGGTGATAGATTCATTGTTTTCAATAAACGAGTTTTTTGTTTGATGTTATTAAGGAATAAATGTCTATAATTTTTTATTGCATGATTTGATCAGTTGAGTGGCTTGCTTGATAATTAAATCAAAACACCTTACATTTTAAATCTTAAATTGCGTCAAAGGTTTAAAAATGTGTGTTTTCAATTATTCGAATATAATAAAAGCAAGCTATAGATAAAATCAAGTTTACAATAAATATGGAATCTCTAAAATGGGCCCCCTGATTAAGCATGATTATTTTGTTGCCGAAACACTCTACGTCAAGTTCTTTTTAAAAAAAAAAGTGCAAAGCATTGCCATTGAAATTATTTAAAATAATTTCTTCTAGAACGCTTAAAGATCACCTAAGAGCTTCGAATTATCTCGGAGCCAAAAATGGTCTTTAAGAAAATATATTATGCAAGATGTTTTGAATGCCTTGAGAGAAATATACATGTATCTGATAAATCATTGAGACCAAGTAAAAGTGACCTTTACCCCCCCCCCCCTAAAGAAAAAAGGGACCCCTCCTCGTAAACATTAAACGTAAAAATTAAAAGGAATGTCCGGCCACATTTAGTGCAGTAAGAACAGCATGTTAACAATTCTTCAAATGGCTTATTAATAATTTGATAAACTTTAAGTCAGTATGATAAGGATACACTAAATATGCATAACTGAGTGCATGTTGTGCATATATAATTTATACTTTTGTAGAAAAATGCTTTTGATATGCTCCTAAGAAATGCGCAGCCTAAGAGTTATCTCCCGTTGTCGGCGTAACGCCCCCCCCCCCCCCCCCCCCCTTTGTAAGTTACCTGTTAATAAAATTTCAAACGATAGGATATTTCGATATTCTCCCTATTGCCATTTGTTTAGAAAATGTCTAAATATTGCACTTTTAAATGGTAATTTCACGATACTGACCCACAAAGTAGGTAATGTTGTCTTCAAAACAGCGTCTTACGACGGATGTCAACGAATATTCGAATATTCGACTATTCATTCGATGAGTTGATATTTCAATATGATTTCATGATTCGAATATTCGTTTTTTAACTGTACAGGCATTTAAAAGAGAGAAAAACCTGACAACTTATTGCAGCCCGGGGGACCGGCTGCTCTTATACATATAAGTTTAAGTGTTGGTGTATGGGGATTGAGATGGGAGTAGTTATGTAGAATTAAAGGTTTCTTAACATTGAAAAGATTGTTAATCAGAATGTTCTTTCCGTTTATAAATTACGAGATACATAATATATTTACTTCCATGGCACCTGATCCCACTTCTGATGTTTCGGAGGTCCGTGTTTGCTCTGCTCTTATTATGTATTGTTTAATGGACTTTGAGAAAAAAACTGTTCGTTATCTTCATATCCTTCCATCAATTTGACGTATCTTCACCTTTTTCATTTAAAAAATATAACGAATAGTATTTTCAGGATTCAGTCCAAAAATAAGTTTTAAAAAACAGCCCCCTTTACTCTAATGTTCTAGTAACTTAAAATCAATCAAAATATATCAATGTAATTTCTGGCAGATTGATGTCAACATGGGGATACAGTCATGAGATTTATGATAGCCAAACAAGGACACCTTTTCTTTTTGCTGCATCCGATTATTCCCTTTTTCTAAAATATCGATAAAACATAAAGTGTATTTTTAATATGTTTCACATAGTTATGTCGTCTTCAATAAATTAGACGCATGCCTTTTTACACATATCGAAGAGGTTTGTTGATCAAGACTCATTTTCATTTTTTACCTTATATATTTCCCGGGCGACAATTGATGGTTACATCAATATTTTCTTGTTAGAAATTGAATCAAGTTTTACAAAATTAAAAGACAGTCCTCTTGGATTACCTGAAATGTGTGAAGAGTGTATATTATTGAAGTAATTTATTTATTTGATCATTAATGGGTGGTAAAATAGTGTCCAGTACTTACAGTCAGCTTGTTTTGTTGTAAGGACGCAGAATTTCTTTACAGTAAACACATGGATACCTTTTTTATGTAAATATAGTTAAAATCATTATCAGGAAATTAATTAGCAAATAGTAATTGCTTTCATTTTTTCTCCGTTAGATAATTGCTGTGCTTGGTTTGAATTTGTAGGAGTTATCAGTTTAGACTTTAGTAAGACGATCAATAAATCTGGAACATGCTTAATGAATCTATTATATTTTCAATTAAAAAAACATTATATTTTGGATGTATACTCTTCATATATTAGATAATTATAAAATATATATAATTGTACATTTACCAAACTCTGTAATCAGACTCTGTTCCAAAATAATGGCATAAAATCTATACTGCTTGACAGGAAAGTGAAGATATTTATTTTATAATGCAAGATGTATTTATTTTATCGAATATTCGAATATATTCAAATACTCCTATCGAATATTCGAATATCAATATTAAATTTGACATCCCTACTTCAAAATGAGTGTAAAGAACCATAAAAGTAGTTCATGGATGGCAAGTATTATCTAAGGACGCTGTAGACACTGCACACTAAAGAGCTCTTTTATTGGGTAGTTTTATGAAGTTAGAGTAATCTGCCCTTAGATGTAGATTTAAAGAAATTCTTATTTACTGTTAATAATTACATAATTTATAATAGATTTTTTTTGTCGAGTTTGGACACATATTTGTTAGGTTTTTTTTAGTATTTGTATGTCTATTTAGTAAGTGATAATTAAGATATCATAAAATGACTATAGCGTCTAATTAGTGTTACATAAAATTTTTATTAATTTTTGACTTGTTTCATATAGAAAATAATAAGTTTAAACAGAACACTTTATATCAGAGTTTATGTCATTTTAACCTTGGTCCATGCACACAATCTGTGATCTTTAAAGACCCCGAATTTTACAAAAATATAATGTTCCATCAATAGAAATTAAATCATTCTGACTAGTTTTTTCATAAGAAATATTTTGCTATACAATAAATTTATATAGAATAACTTATTTTCACAAAAACCTTATTGTCCACGAACTTTTTGGACAACCCTCGTATATATATAAATATTTAAATCTATTATTAATAAAAATATTTAATCAAACATTTTACTTTTAATTTTTATGCATATCTTTATATGATATATTTTTCACTGAGTCCTTTTAATACCTATTTCCTCTTAAAATACTTTATTTTCTTCTTATCACTTTACTTTACAATACGGGGGGGGGATCCAGCCTTTCAATGAACATTTTAAATAGTGAAAGTAGTGTTGGGGAAAAAGTGGGATGGGGGTGGGGGATGAGTACTTGTAGTAGACCATAATACATGTCAAACCATTCATCAATGGGTAAAGTAAAAACTAACGGTCTCGACCTGTTAACAGGTTAATGAAAATAGAATGATACTTTTCAATAGCTTAGTGGTTACAATGAAGCGCCGTTTTAATATGTTTGAGATATTTCAAAGCTAAGCTTTATGATAAATGTGATAACTTCAACTTTCTTATCGCCAATTTCCCTATCTTATGTAATAATATATCCTTATCGACTATAAAGGGTTTAATGTTTTTCAGTTTATTCAACAAGCAAGAGCAAGCTATCGACAAAAAAATGATGAAATAAGGATATCAACAGTCTCGTTTGAAGTCATGATTCCGCAAGTGTTTAGATCGACGCATTAGACTTAGTTTAAAATACTAGTATATTGTATTCATAGAAATGGATTGAACAGCAGGCATATATGTAACTGCCTATGATCGTTCTCTCCATTGGCCTTGTCAGTAAATACAACCTATAATTGAGTCAAATGTTTTCTGACTATTTCCATATTATTAATTACTCCCTGAAATACCTAGGTTTTTTTTCCTTCTTTTTGGATCATGACAAGGAGCACATGACGAGTGTGATCGGCCTGCATGTTTACTCCTTCGTACCACCTGATAG